CCTCCCCTCTCCTCTCCTCTCCTCCCCTCCCCTCTCCTCCCCTCCCCTCCCCTCTCCTCTTTCCTTTCCTCTCCTCTGCTCTCATCCCCCTCCTTCCTCCCCACTTCACTTGCCTTCTGCCTTCTCTCCCTCCCCCCTTCAGACAGTGGTATGCCTGCAGGGACTCTGGGGATTTGTGGTCTGGATAGAAGAGGAAGTAAGAGATAGATCTGAGACACAAAGTCTCCTCTTGGCCCCACCCTTCCTAAACCCAAGGCCAGCTGACTTCAGATGTAGCTCTTGTTGATCCTTGTTGGAAATATGCCCCCTTCCTGGACTGGAACTTGTCTGTGGTTTGGTCAGTACTCTCCTTGTAGGACTGATGCACCCCACTGAAGAGCACTAAACTCCTCTAAAAGAAAGCAGTGAGGGCATTCCTATTGATGCTGAGGAATACAGTGGGACCCTCTCATACCCCTAAGTTGTTAAAAGGTAGCATCATTTTAAGGGAAAGAGATCCTTGGCAATACATAGAAATACATTATCACACTGGCATGCTATTAAAATAATCTCGAGTGAGACCAGAACTCTCTGAGATATACTTTTAATGAGGCAATTAGTAAAAACCATAGGACACAGCATAGGGTATAAAACACTAAACAGGGTTCCTAAGGGGGCTTGTAGCAGAAGGGCAACTGGACTATAGTAGAAGGTGCAGCCACACCAGATGTAGGACCACTAGGACCTCAGAGTTATTCTTAGCCCTTGATCCACATGTGGCTGCTCTCCAGTGGTAGGGGATCAGAACATAATTATTTCATCTCTGTAGGTCTGAAAATGTTTAAGGAAGGAGGAGATCAAATATCATAAAGACAAAGCTTGTGGCCAGAACCATGGACTAAAACAACTTTTTACAAGTTGGAGAAGTAGGTTTGTAATTAGGAAAGGGTTCAAGGTTGCTGTCCATTTTCTACTAATTTCAAGATTTTGTCTCCCAGTTTTCCAGGTCTGGGATTTTGAGGATCAAGTTATCCAGAGTTGATCAGTACCTGGGAAGAACTTAGCTTCTGCTATCCAAATTCCCCTGTCAAGTCAACAAGCGTTTATTAAGTTCTTACTACATGCCAGGGACTACAATGGGAATACAAATACAAGCAAAAACAAAGACTCATGCCCTTCTAACGTGAGAAGACAAAACATAAAAGGGAGCTGAGAAGGGCTGAGGGCTGTGGGGAGGAGGGTAGGAAGTGGAGAGACATGGTGGGGTGAGGAGATGGTAAAGAAAGTCCGGAGTGCGTAGCATGGAAAGGAATGAAAACTGAGGTTCTAGGAGGAACCAGCTCATCAGAGGAAGAGGCCACAGGGTTGGGGTATATATCCAATGGGAGAAATAGTCCAGGGGTGGAGTGAGTTTCTAGGGTGAAGAGGTTTCTAAGTCACAGCAGAGACTGTCCTGTGGTGATGAGTCAGCAGTACAGCCTAGAGAGGAAAGGATTGATTTACATTGGAAAGCCAATTTAATCATTAATGATGATACCTATAACTGCCAAGTGAGTGAACCAAAA